ATTTGCATTTTATTTGAAAGGCAGAGAGACAGAGAGACATCCATCCTTATCCACTTGTTTACTCCCTAAACTCCCCCAAGAGCTAGGGTAGGCCAGGTAGGATCAGATAAAAGCCAGAAGCCCAGAATTCAATCCAGGTCTCCCACATGTGTGGCAAGAATGCAAGCACCATCGTCTGCTGCCTCCCAGGGTCTTCATTAGCAGGAAGCTGGAACAGAAGAGAAGCCTGGGGGCGAGGAGAAGGGGAGCAGCGGCTGTGGCACAGCATGTCAAGCTGCTGTTCGAGTCCCAGTCACTCTGTACTTTCAATGCAGCTTCCTGCTAATGCGCCTGGGAATCAGTAGATGGTCGCCCAAGTACTGAGTTCCTGCCGCCCATGTAGGAGATCCTAGTAGAGTTCCTGGCCCCTGGCTTCAGTCTGGCCTAGCCCTGGCTATTTCAGGCATTTGAGGAGTAAACTAGTGGATGGAAGATCAATCACAATCTCTCTCAATCTCTCTCTGACTTTCAAATAAATAAATATTAATAAAAAATTAAGATAATCTAGGACTCAAACCAGGCATATCAATACAGGATACAGGCAGTCCTAGTGACATCTTAACTTCTCCACCCAATGTCTACCTCTGAATTTCTATTCTTTATAAATTATCCAGTCTACAGTATTTTGTTATAGCAACACAAAACAGACTAGACATTGTAATAGAACACACTGGCCCTCTTTTTGAAAAAAGGAAAGAAAGAAAAAGAGTTAAAAGTGTATACATTATTCTGCAATGATTTTAAATTTGAACTTTTACAGTTTTTTTCAAGATGCAAATAAGTACTGAGATTGCCTTACAGCAATAAGGGAGCAGCTCAATGGAGGGCTCAGACGGAAAGGGCCCAGCATAGTGACAAATACATCACAGATGTTCAAAAATCTCAGACCTCAAAACAGTATATCCTCTATCTTAGGTGATACAATGATTATTCTGATTTAATTTATCATGAAAAAATTGGCTTAGGATGAGAACTTTGTTCCATAATACACAGTGAGACCAACTATGTGTAATAGACTCAGGCCAGAAATCCTAGTTGCAATCCCAGCTTTCTAAGAGGTCTATCTTAAATAAGTCACCTAGTCACATTAAGATTCAGTTTCTTCAACTAATATATAGGAATAATAACATCTGCATTGCCAAATTTCAAGGGCGGTATTGAATATCATATTTTAAAAGCTACCTGAAAGTAACTTATAAGCTCTATACCATCTAATGTAAGATACATAATACTGCCAATATTACTAAAAATCAGTGGTTCTCTATTGGGCAATTTTGCTTCCCAGGGGACATTTGGAAATTCTTGGGGACAATTTTGATTGTCACAATTGGAAGAGAATGTTCTGTCTCAATTGGGAAAGGAGTGGGTAAAATACTTGCATTTTCATAGTAACTTAGTATTCATTCTGAATTCAAATGCAAATCACATACAAATTCAGGATAATATTCAAAATTCAATTCATCTACATATTCAACATTGTACTACAATGTCCTACAGTGTAGCTTGTAAAACTGCAAATTAAAAACTATAAAATACTTTGAAGAATATTATTTCTCTGAAGTCACATACTATTCATAATGCAGGATTAACTGCAAACCCATGGCAAAAAAAATTTCTTTTCTGATTAATCTAATCAAGCAATATATTTCTAATTGCTTTGATGCTTCAGATTAATTTATATATTCCTTGATATCATCTCAAGACTTTTTTATCTCTAATTACATTTTTAAAAGTAAAAGAAAAGAAAAAAAATCTTCACAGTTGTAACTGTATGTAATTTTTTTAAAGTACCAATATCATCAAAGGCTAACAGAAACTATTATTTATAAAGCTTATCTGTTACCACAATCCTCAGCCACTGGCAGTATTGCACAAATCACACTGTTTTAAATATAATACTATAAAGTCAAATTTATATATGACATTCAAAGAGACTTCTAAAAATGAAAACTTTACTGAAGTCTTAAATATTTCTTTTGTTCAGTAATTTCTTTAACAGAATAAAACCAGATATCCATCTGCTAAACATCATCAGTAAGCCATATTTCATACATCTTAAATTAATGCAATTAGAAAACTCATTTTTATGTCTTTTAAACTTTCTAATTGACTGAAAGCATACATGAGTTCAAAGATGTTAGCGTGCTTCTGCATGAGAAAGGAGTTACATTCTAGAACACCACAGGAGAATATCTTTGACATTGTTTTTGGAAATTTTCCAAGTTGTTACATATACTGCTCCTAAATTCACTGCCTCATTGAGATTTACTAGAATTGTCACATCAATTTTCTACTTAACTTTTCTTCAAAGCTAAATACTTTCTTTTTTGTTGTCCACAACCATGAAAAGAACTTTAAACTGTTGACACAGCAGTGAAAAAGTAAAGATAAATCATAAAATAAAAGAATGTGTCTTTATCTACCAAACATTATAACACATTCATTATTATTTTCCAGAAAAGAATTAAATGCATTTAACTATTTCCAAATTTTTGTGAGACCAGCAAGTTTCGCATTACAGAATGATGAAATACATAATAAAATGTAACAATATATTTTAACTCCTAAAGAAAATCAACTGTCTCCATTAGTATGTAAGATAAAACTTACTAAAAAGTTAATACATTTTTATTTCAATCAGCTTCCAACTTTCTCTTGGTTTTTTTTTTTTTTTTTTTTTTTTTTTTTTTTAGTGTTGACTTATTTTATGACCCTTCATAAAAGAGTAAATAAAACCTACATCCGGGAGTTGGCATTGCACTGCAGCAGGTTAAGCCACCAATTAGAACAACCACACCCCAAACCTGAGTGCCAGTTCAAGTCCTGGCTATTCTGCTTCCAGTCCAGTTACCTGCCAATGCATCTTGAGAAATAGCCAAGGATGGCTCAAATGCCTAGGCCCCTGCCACCCACATGGGAGACTGAGATGGTGTTTCAGATTCCTGACAGTGGCCTAATCCAGCCATTTCGAGAGTTTTCTAGCAGATAGAAGATATCTCTCTATATCTTTCTGTCAACCTGCCATCTGAGTAGATGAAAATAAACAAACACTTAAAACAGAAACAAACAGAAAAAATCTAACATATGGGAAAACCCAGGTGGAATAAATAATTCTACCCACTTAAGAAACATGTAGTATGTATTACAACTCCATCAAAATGTTATCATCTAGTATTTTTAAACTGAGGTGTAATTGCAGGTTAATGGAAAAACACATACTTTCTTAATCTTCCAGTTAGGATTATTTTTATGCAGCCATTATAACTCATTTTCTAACTTTTATATCCTAAAAATACGAAATCAAGATTTTCCATTAATAAAGAATTCCAAACTTCTAAGAATGCATTTAAAATCAAAGATCCATGTAATTCTGAATACTTTTTTTTCTTTAAAACCAGATGCCAACAAGTGAGAAGCCAAAAGTAGAGCAACTCATTGTGCATGTACCAGCTTCTAAAAGCCTGTCTGAGGTCACTTAATTGGAACTTGGAACACAGTCTTCCATTGAACCAATGTTACAAATAGTGCTGCTTTTCCCAGGCCTTCCCACAAAAGCTCATAAGCAGTTTTAAAAAAGAAAATTAACATTAGATACTTTACAACAAACAAAAAAGAAGCTCACACAAAAGATATAAAATGTATCTCATAATTTTGCCCAATTTCTACATTTCCTCCACATATTTGTATTCAAGCTCTCTCAGCTTTCTGTTACCTGCAAATAAGTTCTTTAAGAAGAAAACAATAAATTATTTTATTTCAAGGTCACACTACCTCCTCTAAAACAAAATAAATATCTGCTATCAAGCCTATATTATTGGGGTGAGCCTCTGTAATAGTAGAAAGATACCACTAGGGATCCTCACATCATAATGGTTTCTGAGTTCATGTCCCCATTCCACTCCTGATTCCAGCTTCTTACTGGCGAGTACCCTGGGAGGCTGCAGGTGATGGCTTCTTGCCTTCCACATGGGAGTCCTGGACTGAGCTCCCAAGCATTTGAGGAGTGAACCAGTAGTTTGGAAGTCTCTCTCTACCTCTCTAATAAAAGAAATGTTTTAAAGTTTATTTTTAATGAAACCATCATTTATAACATTGTATCTATTATTTCAGTGCCTATGTGGGAGACTTAGGTTGATTTTGGCCTAGATCAGCCTGGACTTTTGCAGGCAGCTAGGGAGTGAACCAACATACCAACAATCTCTCTGTCTGACTCTCAAGTTTTTCTCTCTCTTTATTTTTCAAACAAAATGAAAATAAACAAATAAAAACTTCCAAATCTTGTGAGGAAGACAAGTGTTAAGTTGAAAGAATGACAGCTGACAAACAGAAAGCCATAAAAGTCTCTCTGGGGAGTAGAAGGTTATAAATGGAACAAGGAAAAGAGAAGTGTTGACCTACTCGCTGCTCACAAGTGAACTGATTTGAGTTGAGATTCTGACATAAACAAAGTCAAAAGAGAAAAGAAGACTTCTGACCAGAGAAGGCTTTCTCAGAGGCAGAGGAAAACTTGCAAGTCCAAATAAACAATCTCCAAAACTATTGTCTAATTATATTGCTATGAATTTTTTTAACTTTTATTTAATGAATATAAATTTCCAAAGTACAGCTTATGGATTACAATGGCTCCCCCCCATAACGTCCCTCCCACCTGCAACCCTCCCCTTTCCCACTCCCTCCCCCCTTCCATTCACATCATGATTCATTTTCAATTCTCTTTATATACAGAAGATCAGTTTAGCATACATTAAGTAAAGATTTCAACAGTTTGCTCCCACACAGAAACATAAAGTGAAAAATACTGTTTAAGTACTAGTTAATTGCTATGAATTAAACAGCAATACTGTGTACAACTTGCTAAAATGCCTCCAGTCTCTCAGAAGATTAAATCAAGAGGGCAGACAGCATATAGTATACTTTAAATATAACTTAGAATAAAACAAACAGTTTTTTAAAAACAGTACCTCTTTGTTGGTGATGGGAATGGATAGGAAATAGTTGGGTTGATAATCTTTCTGCTTTTTTTTCCTCTTCTTCATTTGATCACTCTTGATACATTCATTTTCTTTATTTCTCTTCAACTTTATTTGAGGTGCATCAGTGACTACAGGGAGAAAATAAAACAATATGTTTAATATACATAAACAAAGATAACATGGTCAAGAAAAAAGAAAATAAATAAGCAGCAATAATTCATAACTGTCATTTTCAAAGACAAAGCAGAAGTTGGCAAAAGACAAATAATTTGGGCTTTGCAATCTTAAGATTTCTGTCTCAACTACTCTACTGTAAAAAAACATAAACGAATAGATGTTCTAATAAAACTTTACTTACAAAGCTGGTGGCCAGCAGATTTGGCTCCTGGGCTAAAGCATGCTAACTCCAACCTAAAGTATAACTAACAACCCTTCTCTCCTCCATGCCACAATTTTCATAACACTAGGAAAGAGCATTTTTTAAATCCATCCGTGTATGTACATATATATTTGTGACTTCTAAGACAAAACAACTTGCAGCATTGCCACTCAAACTTTGGTTCTGGCCAATGTCATGCTATAAACTACTTGTTGCAAAAACTGTAAGAATGCTTTATAATTTAAAAGTTCAATGTAATTCCCCATCAATATACCACAATATTCTTCACAGAACTAGAAAGAACAAGTTTAAAATTTTTATAGAAGCATAAAACACCTCAAGTCAAAGCAATTTAGAGCAAAAAGAACAAGAGTGGACATATCACAATACCTGATTCCAGGACATATTATAGAGCTATAAGAACCAAAACAACCTGATACTGGCATAAAAACAGACATTTAGATAAATGGACAGAGTGGAAGAAACAAATCCACATGTCTATACCCAACTGATTTTAAAAAAAAAAAAATTCAAAAGGCTGAGTTAGAGAGAGAGAGAGAAATAGAAAGAGTCCATCCACTGGTTCACTCCCCAGATGGCCACAACATCCGGGGCTGGGCCAGGTTGAAGCCTGGAGCCAGGAACCTCTTCTGGGTCTCCCATGTGAGTGCAGGGGCTCAAGCACTTAGGCCATCCTTTGCTGTTTTCCCAAGCACGTCAGCAAGTACCTGGATTAGAAGTGGAATAGCCAGTACTCAAACTGGCACCCACATCGGATGCTGATTCCACTAGCCGTGGCTTAACCTGATGCTGCACCACAGCACCACAGCACCAGCCCCAGCCAAATGATTCTTGACAAAAGTGCCAAAACCACATATTAGAGAAAAGACAGCCTCTTCAAAAATGGTGCTTGGAAAACCAGGTAATCTATATACAGAAAACTAAAAGTGGTATTGTCAACCCCTCACCCTATACAAAATCAATTCAAAATGGATCAAAGACCTAAACTTAGACCTGAAACTATGAAAACCAGAAGAAATCCTATAGGAAACACTTCAAGACATCTTATCAGTGGATAAGATTACAAATGCACAAGAAGCAGAGGCCAGCGCCATGGCTCACCTGGCTAATCCTCTGCCTGCGGCGCCGGCATCCCATATGGGCGCCACGTTCTATTCCCGGTTGCTCCTCTTCCAGTCCAGCTCTCTGCTGTGGCCCAGGAGGGCAGTGGAGGATGGCCCAGGTCCTTGGGCCCTGCATGGGAGAAGCACCTGGCTCCTGGCTTCGGATCGGTGCAGCGCGCCGGCTGCAACATGCCAGCCGTAGTGGCCCCTTGTGGGGTGAACCAACGGAAGACCTTTCTCTCTGTCTCTCTCTCTCACTAACTCTGCCTGTCCAGAAAAAAGAATCAATTAAGTATTGGGGCTGGGCTGTGGTACAGTGGGTTAAAGCCCTGGCCTGAAGTGCCAGCATCCCATGTGGGTTTTGGTTCTAGTCCCAGCTGCTCCTCTTCCAATCCAGCTCTCTGCTGTGGCCTGGGAAAGCAATGGAGAATGGCCCAAGTCCTTGGGCCCTGCACCCGCATAAGAGACCAGGAGGCAGTACCTGGCTCCTGGCTTCGGATCGGCACAGCGCACCGGCCGTAGCGGCCACCTGGGGGGTGAACCAACAGACGGAAGACCTTTCTCTCTGTCTCTCTCTCACTCTCACTGTCTAACTCTGCGTGTCAAAAAAACAAAAAACAAAAACAAAAAACAAAAAAAAAAAACAAATGCACAAGCAGTTAAGATAAACTGGATTATATCAAACTATAATGTTCTACACAGCAAAGGAAATACTCAACAGAGTGAAAAACTGATAGAATGGTAAAAGATATCTGCAAACAAATCATCTGACAAAGGATAACCATCCAGAATATACAAGAACCCAAATTCAGTAACAACAAAAAAGTCCAATTTTAAAAGGAGCACATGACACAGAAACTTCTCAAAAGAAATCAATGACCACAAATTTATGAATATATACTGAACATCAGTAGTGATGAGGAAAATGAAAATCAAAATCACAATAAAATATTATGTAATCAGTTAGAATGGCTACTTTTTTTTTAATTTTTTTTTTTTTTTGACAGGCAGAGTGGACAGTGAGAGAGAGAGAGAGAGAGAGAGAAAGGTCTTCCTTTGCCGTTGGTTCACCCTCCAATGGCCGCTGCGGCCGGCGCGCTGCGGCCGGCGCACCACGCTGATCCGATGACAGGAGCCAGGTACTTCTCCTGGTCTCCCATGGGGTGCAGGGCCCAAGCACTTAGGCCATCCTCCACTGCACTCCCTGGCCATAGCAGAGAGCTGGCCTGGAAGAGGGGCAACCGGGACTAGAACCCGGTGTGCCGGTGCCGCAAGGCGGAGGATTAGCCTAGTGAGCCGCGGCGCCGGCCCTAGAATGGCTACTTTTTTTTAAATTAAGGCCTAAGAGATTTTTTTAAGATTTACTTATTTGAAGGTAAAGTTACAGAAAGAGATCTTCTATCCCTGTTTCAAATGGTCACAATGGATGGCACTGGGCCAAGGGCCAGGAGCCAGGAGCTTCATCCGGGTTTCCCACATGGGTGCAGAGGTCCAAAGATTTAGGCCATTTTCCTCTGCTTTCTCAAGCACACTAGCAGGGTGCTAGATGGGAAGTGAAGAATCCAGGACTTGAACTAGTGGAATGCCAATATTATAGGTGGCGGCTTAACCTGCTCTTCCACAACAAAAAATAATGTTGGCCAAGGATGTGGGGGAAAAAAAGGCACTCATAAATTGTTGGTGGAGGTATAAATTTGCAGACATTAATGGACAATATTTCTTTAAAAATTAAAAAAAATATATCTACCATATGATCCAGCCATCACATTTGTGGGTATATATTCAAAGGAAATAAAAACAGCATATCAAAAGGATACTTGCATTCCCATGTTTATTGCTGTACTATTCACAATAGCTAAGATATGGACTCAACTTAGATGCCCACCAACAGATGAATAGAAAAAGAATATGTGATATATATATATATATATATGAATATTATTGAGTCATTAAAAAGAATGATATTCTATCATTTGCAGCAAAATGGATGGAACTGGATGCCATCAGGGTCAGTGAAATCAGTCAGACACAGAAAGACAAATACTATATGTTCTCTCTCATATGTGGAAGCTAAACAAAAGTTAATCTGAATATAGAACAGTGATTACTAGAGGCCAATAAAAGTATGGGAAGAAGAATAGAGGCTGGTTGGAAAACCAATAGCAAAACACAGGTTGGTACAATAAATAAGTTCTAGCATTTTCCAGTACAGTGAGATGACTATGGTTCATAATAAACTATTATATGTTTTATGAATAAACAAAAGATAGACGCTTAAAGACTCCAAACATACAATAATGATAAGGAGAGGGAAAAATTATTCACTCTGATTTGATTAGTACAAATTACATACATTTATTGAAATACCACACTGTACTCCAAAAATATGTGTAATTATTAAGTGTTAATTAAAATGCTGAGGCTTTTTACTATATTTTATAAACATAAGTAACAAATAGGTAAATTTTTTAAAGGACTGATGTTAGCCCACAATTTGAGAACCAGAGTACTGCTAATTTTTTAAGACTTATTTCTTTATTTGAAAGCCAGAATTATAGAGAGGCAGAGGCGGCGGCGGGGGGGGGGGGGGGGGGGGGGTCTTCCATCCATTGGTTCACTTCCCAGATGGCTGCAATGGCTGGAGCTATGCTGATCCAAAGCCAGGAGCCAGGAGCTTCTTCCAGGTCTCCCATACAGATGCAGGGGCCTAAGAACTTGGGCCATCTTCTACTGCCTTCCTAGGCCACAGCAGATATCTAGATTGGAAGTGGAGCAGCTGGGACTTGAACCAGCGCTCATATGGGTTGCTGGCACTGCAGGCAGCTGCTTTACCCCCTATACCACAGCGCCGACCCCCAGAGTACTGCTTTTTAAAATCATCTTCAAAAGAGTTATTTACAACACACACAATTCTATTTAGGCAGTTATGTTCTCAGAAGGAGACACCAAATCTTTAGAAGAGCCATTGTTTCTTTTTTCACAGATTTTATCAAGGGATTCCATATGCATGTAAACCCATCATTAATAAAATTTTTTGCGGTATGACCTTGGGAGGGAGTGGGATGAACCACTTTACCTTGAATTTAACCAAACAGGGTTGGTTTCATCTTTGACATCAACTCATAGATCATAGTGACCCCCTGCACACAATGCCTTAAAAAGGACTGTAAGAAAAGGCTGGGCTCAACCTATAGTCCAAAGTCTGACTGCATATGTACTCTGATTTAGCTAAATCACTTATTCTGCAGATGATGAAAAAGAAGAACAAAAAAACTTGTGAAAACTGCTCAATGTCATAGTCAAGTCTGGGATCTAGACCTTTTAACTCTCCTTCTAATGGACTTCCTACTGTATCAAACTGCTGCTCTACTGAAGTCCTGCAGAGCTCATTAACGCTACACATAAAATCACAGGTAACAGTAATTGTTCTTATTCTGTCTGAGATTATAATAGTAAATAATAGTAAATAGCTTTAATGTCTTAAATAGTATTTCAATACTATTTTCTAACACAGGAGATGTTTAAAAAAAAAAAAAAAAAAAAACAAGAATTTGTGGGAACAGACATGTCTTCTTTCTAGAACATGTGTCTGTGAGACCTAGAGGTGTAAAGCAAGAACAAAGTA